AGGATGAGGAGGAGGGGGAGGAGGAGGAGGAGGAGGAGGAGGAGGAGGAGGGAGGAGGGAGGAGGGAGGAGGGAGGAGGATGAGGATGAGGAGGAGGAGGAGGAGGAGGAGGAGGAGGAAGGAGGAGGAAGGAAGGAAGGAGGAGGGGGGAGGATAATGGGGATGGCGTGGGGCAAAGGTGGGCTGATGGCGAGGAGGAATAGTGGGAGGGAGGGCTGTAAGCAATCAGGGTGAGCAGGATTTCGAGGGGGATGTGATGATAGGAATCATGATGGTGATGGTGGTGATGGTGATGGTGACGGTGATGGTGGTTGGAGTGTTGATGGTGATGATGACTCTGATGATTCTGGTGCTGATGATCATGGTGGTGGTGGTGTTGATTATGATAATGATGACGATCATGCGGATGATGCTGATGACGATGCTGATGCTGATGATGGTGATTTTGATGATTATGACGATGCTGATGTTGATGCGTTTGATGCTGATGCTGTTGATGTTGCTGATGATGCTGATTATGATGCTGCTGATGATGGTGATGCTGATGATGGTGATGATGCTGATAGTGATGATGATGGCGATGCGGGTAGTGGCGGTGTGATGATGATGGTTGTGACGGTGTTGGTACAAGTGTCGGTGACGATGATCATGGAGAGGACGGGAAAGAGGACGATGAGGATGAGGATATAGAGCGTGATTACCAGACGGGATTTGCTGGATCAAAACAAAGAGGGAGGGGGTCTGTGTCTCTAGAGGAGGATGAGGAGGGCGATACAAGCAGGAGGCGGAGGAGAAGGAGGAGGAGGAGGAGAAGGATGAGGAGGAGGTGGAGTAGGGGGACGTATAGCGGGAAGGAGGGCGTTTGGATGCGGGATGTGGAAGGAGGGGTGCGAGAGGGAAGGTGAAAAGAGGACGAAGAGAGGGAGGGAGGTCAAGGAAAGGATGGTGGCCATGGGGGAGGGAACGCGGTGGTTTGATCTCCTTTTTCAGGGTGTGGGGGACATTCTGTGGGGGGGTGGATGTGGAGGTGAAGGGGATGGAGACGGGGAGTGTGGGAAGGCCACGGCGGGGCAACGGATGGGGAGGAAGGGGGAAAGGGGGAGGTGGTGGAGAGAGGTGCGAAAGGCAGGGCTTTGGACGAGCGGAGAGAGGAGGGGAGGAGGAGGCAAAGCAGGGAGGGAAGGGCATGGAAGGTTTCCCTGGTTTGAAAGCATTGGCCCCCTTGATTTCCTTGTGGCTTTCGCGCGCATCGCTGAGGAGGAGGAGGAGGCGGAGGCGGAGGATGAGGATATGAAAGAGTCGCATTGCTGGCCCCAGGGCTTTCTCTCGATCTGCGCTTGGGATGCAGGGGGCAAACGCTGTCATGAGTGGCGCGAAACAACCATGTAGTGGAGGACCAGGAACTTTGCAACGCATGCATTCCATGCTTTCACTCAGCGGGAAACTTGTGTCATCTGCTTTGAGTTCTCTCTCTCTCTCTTTCTTTATTTCTTCATTTCTCTCTCTGTCTCTGTCTCTGTTTCTCTCTCTCTCTGTGTCTCTCTCTCTCTCTCTCTTTCTTTTTCTCCGTACATGCATCTATTCGCATACCTCTCTTCCTCCTCTCGTTTACGTCCATGTCTGCTAGCTGAGGCGATTACTTCTTGAGTGCGCAGTGGGCGGAGTTCGAGGATAGTGTGCGCATTGTTTGACAGACAATTGGTGTTTTGTTTCACAGCATTTCGCCGCCCCGATCTTACGTGAACTATGAACTGGAGCATGCTGTCGTGGTACTATTGCCTTCCTTTTTCCGTGCTTCTTCTTTTGCTTCCATGTGTCCTTGCCCGTTGCTTAAAGACTTATTTAGGGTTACAGGCATGGGGCTGTATGCATTGTTTATTGGGGGATGCTTCGAAGAGCCCTTCCCCTTCTTGCAGCCTCTGCCCAGGACTCTGGTAGTTTTTTTTTTTTTTTTTTTTTTTTTTTTTTTTTTTTTTTTTTTTTTTTTTTTTTTTTTGTTTTTTTTTTTTTTTTTCTCTCTCTCTCTCTCTCGATCTTCTCTTTGCCGCCATCCATCTGCCGCGTTTGCTGCCTGATTGCTTCGAGCTCGCATTGCTCCTCGTGCTGAAGCTTTGAGAGCACCGCGTGCCCTGCTGCCCTTGCGGTTACTTTTCTCCTGGGCATTGGCCTTTCTCTCGGCACCTTCTTATCGCCGTGATTTCATGTGCACATGCGAATTTGTTTTAACCTTTCTTACAACCCTCATGACTGCGTATCTATATTATTAGTCCTTTCCTTCTTTTCAATATGACATGTCGGCGTATCTTGAGAGGTCTGCAAGGACAATAATCCAGCAGCCCTCACCACAGTGGTTGCTTGGCTTGTGGGTCTGGTCGCAGTGCAGCGATCGTTGACCAGAACGTGCTGCTTCCCGTGCTCCTGGAGGTCTCGCACCCAAGAACATGGCTGGTATTCCCGCCGTGTCCCAGGGCGTGGGCCTCTGGTGAGCCTCTCTGGAGCCCACCGGGAGCCTCGCGGGGGCCTCCCGAGGGCACCTTCTGGGCAGGGGACACACGCGCAGCAATGACACGCCGCCGCGGGGAGCCCTTTGGCTTTGTTACTCCTTCGTCGTTCTGGTCCGAAGACCTGGCGGTCCTTCCACAGGAGCGGCACGCTGACGGATCACCCACGGCGGCGTGCCGCGGATCTCGTTTCTGCTTCCCCAATCCCGGGGACCTCGTAGGAGGCCTCTCGGATTGGTTACACGTAAGAGTGACCTTTCGCCAGAGTGACCTTTGGTGCGGGCCCACTGGGGTCCCCCGATCACCGAACGCGATGCGGTAGTAGCGTTTTGCGCGCTCGTGTTTAGTCCCCCCGCGGCCCCCAAAAAGCCGCGCATCAAAGGTCACTCTTACCCAGGGCCACTCTTGCGTGCAGTCGATCGGAGACCTCTGGGGAACCTCTCTTGGATGCCTCCTGGAGGTCCCCGGGGGGCTCGGCGGGGGGCGGCGACAGACTCCCGGCCACCTCTCCCGGGCTGCGCCCGTGCGCCACCGCACGCGCCCCTCCTGCGGGCGTCTCGTGCTTCTCCCTGGCGACCCTGGCAGGTCGTCTTGGGGAGCATCTCGGACTGCCCTCTTGGGGCGTCTTGGGCGCTGCGGAGGTCGAGCGTGCCAAAAGCAGGTGGCGGCAGTGTGCACACGGAGCCGAGCCGCGCGCCTCCCGTGAGTTTGGCCTCTCGGGCCGCCCCTTGGTGCCCTAAGATTGCCCAGCAGGTCGCCGCAGTCATTTCGGGAGCATCTCGGGAAGCCCGGATCCCCAGCCCTGCAGGGCTCTGGGGCAACTTCATTCACCAGCATTCCGCGGGGCCAGAGTAGCCTTGCAGGATCCCTGCAGGAGCCTTGGGCTCCAGGGGCCCATGACCGTCTGGGAGGCTGGCGCAGGCGTTCCGTCCACCTCCAGAGCATGTCCATGTCCACCGCTTCGGAGTCGCGCCCTGGGATGATGAGCCCGCCCGCGCGGGCGGACAGGTCTGTCTGTGTCCACCGCTCCCCGAGCCCCCACAACACGACCCCGCGCCAGTAGAGATGGCTGTACTCCGGCGGCGCACTCTGAGGCTCAAGGCAGCAGGACGATCAGGGACCTGCGGGCACTGCACCGCGTGCTGGAGGCACAGCGGCGGGCTGACTGCGCATTCGGAAGATTGCCTTGGACGCGAGCGAGCGAGGGAGAGGGAGCGGGAGGGAGGGGGAGGGGTAGGGCGGGGTAGGCCGACAAGGGGGGGAGAGAGGGGAGGACGGGAGGATGCGTAGGGAGGGAAGGGAGACGATGGGTTGGGGGTGGAGAGGGATGGCGGCAAGGGGAGCGGGGGGAGCGGGGGGAGAGGGGGGGGGCGGTGGAAGGGAGAGGAGGGAGGTGGGCGCGGGGATCCACGCAGCGGTGGGCCTCTGTCGGCATGCCTTTGCATGGGAGTCCCATAGCTTTCCTGGCGTCTCTGGTCCGCTTCTTTGGCTCCTCTTACGGAATCCTTCTTCTGTCCCCCCATCTCCCCTTCATTTTTGTCCTCACTACCTCCCGCCTCCCTCACCCCTCATCTGCTTTTTCCCCCTCCCTCCTCGTTCCTCTCCCTCTCCTGTTTCCTCTCCTCGTTCCCTCGCCTTCCATCTCCTCCCCCTCCTACCCCTCCTTCCCCTCCTCCCCTTCCTCTCCTCCCTCCCCCTTCCCGCTGCACTGCAGACAACTCCTTTCGCGCAGGGTCGTCGGCCAGTGTACCTTCCGCGCGATGTCGCGGAGGCGTATCTTTGAAGAGTCTTCCCAGACTCTTGTTTTTTTCCATTGCGGGCCCCCCAGAAGTCTCGACCCTTTCCCATGGCCGGTTTGCTATCCCGAGCCGCTCTTTCACGGTCCCGGGGCCTGGCGAGGGCACCCCTGAGGCCAAACCTGGCCAACAATCTCCCGTCGTGCTTTTTTCGCGACGCGACTACAGTGGGGGCGCGCATCAAGAAACCATGCGCTTTTCGTCAGGGCACCCGGGTTTTCTTCGCTCCGCGCACTGCGCGGCGACTTCCCGCGGCCGTTGACTTAGCTGCTGCGTTCAGAGTGCTCCAGGCTTCCCCTCCGGTGCACCTCGCGCGCGGGTGCAGGGTTGGGTTTCTTGCGAGGGCTCCTTGCGGCCGCGCTCGCACTGTAATTGTGTCTCGCCGCCCCGGCCAGGAGAATGCTCGGCTCCTGATCTTCGAGCGGTACTGCCGGATCCTCGGGGGCTGGCGCCTGGAGAGCCCGCCTGGCCACCCGGGGGCTGGCCGACCCGCAGACAGCTCCGCGTCCTGGGGTTTCGGTATCGTGTGACCAATCCCCATCCCCATCCCCATCCCCATCCCCTTCGACGAGACCCCCACCAAATTACCACCCAAGTTGGGGATACACCCCTCGAAACCCGCAGGGAACGACCCATATCCCCATCTAGGGGGGTAAATCGACCAGTGGGGCCCAGGCCACGCCGCTGGGGATGGGGATCGGTTTAACGATAACTCAGTTTTCGCAGCCGAGCGCTCCTCCGCTCAGAGGAGGGACGACAATATACCGATACCCGATACCGCTACCCGCTACCCTTCCCTTGTCGCCGCGGCTGGATTCGCTTCGAAAGTACGGTCAGAATGCACCCCGGAGAGCACTCCGAGGAGTATTGCGGTATGGGTATCTTTTTGTTCTCCATCCGCATATCAGGCGGGAACACTTCCGCCAGCACTGTTGTTTTTGTAGTTGCTATTGTGGGCGCCGAGGGATGCTGGAAGAAGAGCGCAAGGGAGGAGTATGAGGAAAAGGAGGAGGAGGAGGAGGCGGAAGAGAAAGAGGAGGAGGAGGAGGAGGAGGAGGAGGAGGAGGAGAAGGAGGAGGAGGAGGCGGATAACGAGGATGATGAGGAAGAGGAGGGGGAGCAGGGGGAGTGCGATGGAGAGCAGGGAGGATGAGCCTCCCCCCGATCCCTGGTGCGAATCCTTGTCCCACTACCCCGGCCCTCCGTGGGCTAATTCTCGGAAGCTGGGGTAGTCGAGAGGAGGGAGAGGGAACTTGCAAGCCAGCCATCAAGACCCGTCAAATCTGGCCCTCACGGCCCATAAGATCTGTTCCCGTCGTCGTCGTCGTCGTCGTCGTCGTCGTATCTCTCCTTCTATGTCCGACATCGAAATCACGTTTCGGGTTGCCTGTGGGTCCTTCTCCCGTCTGATCCGCTTGGTCTGGTTACGTGACGAGGGGGAGGGTGATGACGAGAGAGAGAGGACGAGTCTTAGGGGGAGCAGGATGCGGACGAACCGCGACGAGCAACCAGGGGCTTTCTGGCGCCCGCCCCGCCCACGCAATACGGGCGGTTTATCTAATGGCCTTCGCGTGTGTGTGTGTGTGTGTGTGTGTGTGTCAGCCTATTGGATGTTCGCTGGGATCTTGTGGGGGGCCTCTCGGGGGCCTCTCGGATACATTTTTGAGGCCTCTTACGGGCCGTTCTGGGGCCTTCTGGGGCTGCTGTAATTCCTCGAAGGAGTTGGATGCGCCAAGAGCTGCCTTGAGACGTTTTTTTTCGGAGCTCTCTTGGATAATATCCAAGGTGGCCCAAGAAACGACAATATTTAAACACATCTGTTTTTGTACACACTTTTGTTTAACCGTAAAGCGTTTCGGTCGAGACATCCCCTTACACATGCCTTCGAACGGGTCCTCGAAATCACCAGATCATGATGGACACGCCGATGTAGGTTGAGATGTTGAAATCGCTCGCGCAATACCCGGCTATTCGAGCGTGAAGCTCCAGTCTGAAACATTTTCGGACAAGTGCTATATTAGAGCATGTGTTGAGGACATCGTCAACGTGTTGATCCTTCAGCGTGGAAGTCTTTCCCCCGTTAGCGGGTGTACCGTAACATTTCTATGTTACCGTCGCAATGGGGATCTTCACGTTACCGTTCTCCGAGGATGCGAGGGGCGAGGGAGAGAGAGACAGAGAGAGAGAGAGAGAAACCGAGAGATGATGGTGATGATGGTGGTGATGATGGTGGTGATGATGATGGTGTTGATGATGATGCTGATGATGATGATGATGATGATGATGATGTTGACGATGTTGGTCACGCCCACTCCTTCGATTTATCCAATGAAGCGCTTGGCCTGAGACATCTTGAAAAGTGCCTTCGGACGGGTCGTCGAAAGTATGACATTAATTAACAACCATGGTGTTTTTCAACATTATGGGGTTTCACCTGAGGTTGCGCGGATAGGACGTTCGGGGAAAGTGCCTGTGCAACAGTTGATCTTGTTGTTGGTGATTGTCTTGCCAAGTTCGCTCGAGATATGTTTTAAATTGCCTTCGGACGGGTCTTCGAACAGAATACTGTAATTCAAAACCATTGTGTTTTCGGAACATTCTGGGGGGTTGCCTGAACTTGCGCGGGTAGTGAACTCCACCTGATACCTCCCGTGGACGTCCGGGAAGAGCGTCTGTGCTAGAATCGATTTCGATGTTGGTGCATATTCTTGCCAAGCTCTTCGGTTTCACGCGCTTCCCGTTCATGTCAGGAAAGGTTCTCCAGAATGGGCATTTCGCTTGAGACATCCCCACGCTATGGAGATGTTTGAGGTTATCGTCGAGAACGTCTTATGCTAAAAACGAATGTTTCGCCTGGGACATCTTCGGGACATGGAGGGATGCTGAAATCGCTGGCCAAATCATCGGAACTCTAAACATGGCCGTTTCGTTTGAGACATCCTCGGAAACATGGGATGCGCCAAGAGCTGTCTTGAGACATCTTTCCGAGCGCTCTTGGATGACCTCCAAGATGGCTCAAGAAGCGACACTACTGAACTCCACATGTTTTTCACATTTTGTTAAACCCTTCGCGTTTCGCACGAGACAGCCCCTTCAAATGCCTGCGGGCGGCTTCTCGAAACCATCAGATCATGATGGGTATGCCGCCAGTGACGACGATGATGAAAACGATGCCGATGCTGATGATGGTGATGAGGCTGTTGATACTGATGATGATGATGATGCTGATGATGATGATGATGATGATGATGATGATGATGATGATGATGATGATGCCGACGGCGACGACGACGATGATGAGGGTGGTGAATAATAGGATGATGGTGACGATGATGATGCTGATTATGGTGATGATGACTAATATGATGCTGATGATGGTGATGATGATGATGACGAAGGATAATATGATGAGGTTGATGATGATGCTGATGATGCTGATGATACTGATGATGTTGATGTTGATGATGATGTGGATGCTGATGGTGATGATTCCACGGAGACCTTGAAATCGCTCGCGAAACGCTCCAATCTTCGACAATGGAGCTCTCGCCTGGGACATCCCCGAACATACGGGACTCGCAGAGAGCTTGTCAAGACATTATGTCGGCCACTCTAGGATGACGTCCAAAACGGCCCACGACGCAAACTCATTGAACACCCATGGACTTTCCAATGCTACTCTTCAAAGGCAAGCGTTTCGCTCGAGACATCCTCAACAATATGCTTTCGGACCGGCAAATGGTTGTCGTTTTCTGAACTTGCGCGGGCAGCAAACCGCGGCTGCTGTCGGCGAAGGGGGCATGCGACGAGAGCGATGAGGCGAAGGCAAGAGTGCCGATGCGGAGGAGTACGAGCGGCAGCAGGAGGATCAGGAGCAGTATCAGGGTCACTTCACTACCCGCGTAAGTTCAGCGCACCTTCTGAGCTGGCGCGGGTAGTGGACTCTACCTTTTTCTTTGCGATGCAGTTCATCTCGATCGTGTTGCACGTTTTTTTGTGAAGAGGAGGAAGTGTCGTGCTCATCGTGAACGGGCGAGTTTTTTCTGTGCGCCAGTTCAGCGCCACGTGTGAACTTGCGCGGGTAGTGAACTCCACCTCATACCCTGTGGCCGTTCGGAAAGAGCGCCTATGCCACAGTTGATCTCTCTGCTGGTGCATGATAATGCCATGATCGTCGACTTCACGCGCTTCCCATTCACGTCAGGAAAGTTTTCCATGCTGGCTGCTTCGCTAGGGACATCCTCAAAACATGGAGATGTTGGAGGCTATCGCTTAAGACGTCGAATGTGAAACATGACGATTTCGCCCGAGACTTCCTCTGAACATGAGGATGCTGAAACCGCTGGCCTAGTTTCTGAAATCTCAAACATTGCCGTTTCGCCTGAGACATCTTCGACACAAATGGGTTGTGCGAAGAGACGCCTTGAGACATCTTTTTCCGAGCGCTCTTGGATGACCTCCAAGACGACCTAAGAAGCGAAATTATTGCACAGCACATGGTTGTTTTTCGCTTATGTGTAACAGTAAACGTTTCGCTCGAGACGTCCTCTTCAAAATGCCTTCGGACGGCTCCTCGAAACCATCAGATCATGACGGGGATGCTGGTGTTGACGATGATGATGATGATGATGATGATGTTGATGATGATGGTGGTGATGATGATGCTGATGATGATGATGATGCTGATGATGATGATGGTGATGATGACGATGACGATGTGAATGTTCGGGGAGAGCGAGTCCATGATAATCCCCTGTTGACGTTCTGAGAGCTCGCCTGCATTACATTTGGTCAAGATGATGCTGCACGTTCTTGCGCAGCTCTTTGCTTTCACGCCTATCTGAACTGCCACGAGTCATGAACTCTACCTCTTACCCCTGTTGACTTTCGGTGGCGTGCCTACGGCACAGGTGATCTTGATGGCGCTCTCTTCTATTCTACGCGTTTTCCGTTCAAAACGAAGTGTCAAATGTGTTGCTTCAGGAGGTCAGGACCAAGGCCAGGCGCAGTTTACTACGTGCGCCAGCTCAGCGCCACGCCTGAACTTGCGCGGGTAGTGAGCTCCACCTGATGCCCCTTCTGAACGTTCGGGAAGTGCGCCCATTTTACAGTTGCTCTCAATGTTGGTGCACGTTCTTGCGCAACTCATCGCATTTCCGCGCTTCCCGTTCATGTCAGGAAAGGTTCCGGGAACATTGACGTTTCGCACGAGACATACTCGAAGAATCGGTTCCGGAGAGGACTCCGATCCAGCATTATTTTGGAGTCGCTCCCGGGGGGCTTCAAACCGATTCAAGAGAGCCCCCCGAAGGCCCCCTATAGGGATCCCAGAAGCGCCCGAAGAGGGCCCAGGACTGCCCAAGAGGGCCCCGAGACGGCCCAAGATGGCGCCCAGATGGCCCGAGAGAGCCCCTGCATAACCCTAAGACCTGCCCAGACAGCAGAAGAAGACCCCAGTAGCCCCCAAGACTGACCAGACGAGCACCCCGGCAGGCCCCCGAGGGGCCCCCAATGTGTCCCAAGATAGCGCCGAGGGTAGTCTCAAAAGGCGTCGTCTTCGTCTTTCTCCTCCTCCTCCTCCTCCGCCGCCTCGTTCCTCGTCGTGCTCGTTCTCCCTCATCTCCTCCTCCTCGTCCTCGTGCTTCTTCCTGCTCGCTGGCCCTCTGCTCCCCTCGCTGCCCTCCCCGCCATACTCGCTGCCATCCTCGACGTCCGCCGCCCTGTCGTCGCCATCATCCTCGTTTTTTTTTTTTTTTTTTTGTTTCCCGTGCGAGCCCCATGGACAAACTCGGCGCTTCCCATTCTTGTCCGATCAGGTTTCGTGGGGGCTTGTCGGGAAGCGGGGAAGGGGGGCGGGCGGTGATCCCCCCGAGGGCTTCTGGCCGATGCCCGCGGATGGCCCGGCCGCAAACATCGGGCAAGCCGTCGCCATCGAGGCGGGTCACAGCAGCTGTCCGCTCCGAGGTATCGCGGCCAGTCAACAGAGCAGGCTGGCGCCCACCTTGGCTACACGTAAGAGTGACCCTTCGCCGGAGTGACCCGACAGGTGCGGGCCCACCGCCCCCCCCTCGACCGCTGAGCGCGATGCGATGGTAGCGGCCTGCGCGCTTGGCTTTGGCCAGCTCGCGCCCCCTTCTGAGCCCCGCACCAGAGGAGTCACGCTTGCCCATAACAGGGTCACGCTTGCTTGTGGCTGGCCACTGGCACGTGCACCCGGAAAGCTGTGCTGACCTCAATCCGCTTGAGCCCCTCGAGGCGGGGGGCGCTCGGGTACACCAGTGCATCAACATCCAGATGATAGCCGAGAAGCTGAACATGGCTCCAGAGGAGGCCGAGCTCTGGATCGTCGGGCGCCCAGCGGCCTGGCCGCTGCACGGGCGTCTGGGGGATGCGGATAGGCGGGGGGTGTAGCGGCGCGGGCTTGTGTGGAGGGAGGGATCAAGCAATTGGGGAGGATATCCTCTCCCTTCCCCTTCCCCTCCTCCCTCCCCCACTGCTCCCTCCTCCAAATTCCTAATTACCCCGCCTCCATCCCTCCGTCTCCCCTCCTGCCTTCCCGCCTCCCCGACTGCTGCTTATCCTCCCTGTTCTCTCCTCCGTTCTCCTGCGTCAGTTGCCGACCCCAGCGCCTGTTGCCTAGACTGGCTTTGTCGGTTGTTGATTGACCCAGGCGCAGGCTATGCAAGCAGGGCTGTGCAGCGTGGTCGGTACCACGCAAGCTCTGCAACCCCGTTTGCTGACTAGCCCCGCGGCCTTCGCCGATTGTTGAGAGTCTCAGTTGGAATTGGAGTTCGAGCCAGATGTAAGAGGCGTATTATACCAGGAATGGATGTTAGACATCTTGGCTCAGACGCCGGAGCTGCATACAGAGCCGTACGTGTAGGAGGAGCTGCGCTCAGGGCTAAATGAAAACGTATACCATAGCACCAAGCAGGCGCGGATTGGAATGAGTAGCTGTTCTGGGTTCCGCAATGCGCAGCCGAGTCAGAAAACTGCCGAAGGCGCTGATTTCTTGTGATCGTAAACGCCTACTGCGAATCACCGGCCGCCCCCTGCCTTTTGCAAGTGCCTAGGTGGCCGAACGTTGCGGTCGCAGCTCGGCCAAACTACCAGATCATGTGTTCCCCAGCCGTTGTGGAAACGCTTCGGGGAAAACGCGGGGGAGAAAGTAGGATAGGAGGAGAGACCTCTTCGGGCTTTCCTCGGGGAGAGACTCGGAGGCCTCTTGGGGGCCTCTCGTGCCGTCTTGCGCTATCTTGGGACCATCTTGGGCCATCATCTGAGCATCTTGGGCTGTCTTGGCGACATCTTGCGGCCATCTTGGTTTCTCTTGGGGTCATCTGAGACGTTTTGGAGGTATCTTGCAGGCCGTCGTCAGCCATCTTGGCCGTCTTGGAGCGGGCAGACCGATGACCTGGGAAGCTTACGGGTCCTTATGGGGCACGCCGTGCACCCTTGAGGCAAGCCAACAGGAGGCGCCGGACCCAATGGCCCTCGGCCCAATCGGCCTCTGTGCCTGGATCCCTCTTGGGGGGCGTCTTCCGGGCCTCTTGGGCCGTCTTGAGGCCATCTTGAGCTTTGCGGAGCGCTCCAGGGCCGTTTCGGAACCCTCTTGGACCAGCTTGGGGACTTCTTGGAGCTCTCTTGTAGTGAGCAGCTACTCTGGGTTCCATACCTGATAGCTGGGTCAGAATCCGCCGAAGGTGCTGATTCCTTTCTTCGCCGAAGAAGAGACCAATGGCATACACATACACTGTCGGAGGTCCGCGCAGATTTCTGGGATCGGCGCCGGACCCCCCTCCCTGGCGCGCAGAGCACGCCAGGGGCGGCGCCGGCGCCGGAGGCGCCGGCAGAGGTGGAGGTGGACCAGCGCCGATCCAAGAAAACCGCGTGGAGCTTCGAAAGTTATGTTCATGCCATTGTGTTCTTCTTCTACGGTGGTGGCACTGGTTTAGGAATGTGCCCAGGAGGTTTCAGACCCTGGAGGGTTCCTTGCCTGATGAGGGTGGCGGTTCTATCCTCAGCCAAGCCTCAGTCGGAGTTCCACCAGCTTCCAGACCCTGGATTCTTTACCCAATTGTTCTTTGCCAATGTCCTTACGCTCGGGCGAAGAGAACTATGCACATGCACTGATCCTGGCAAGGCCCATCCTTGACCCAGGATCGGTGCATATGCCTTCCTGGCCAAGGTAGGAGGGCGTATGCACCGATCCTGGGCTCAGGATGGGCCTGGCCAGAATCGGTGCATGTGCATAGTTCTCTTCCCTCTATACGCAGCCAGAGCAAGCACAGCCGAGCGGCAGTTCGCTCGGCAGCGCGCATATCAGCGCAGCGCCAGAAGCAGCAGCGCCCCCTCCGCGTGGCCCCGCGGCGACCGGGCCCCGCCCTCCCCCTGGCCCTCCACGCGGCTGGTAGGTTCCATTCTTTACGCCAGAGCTGTCAGCGGACGAGTGACGGTACTCCAGATTTCGTAATAAAGGGAGGGGGGTCTCATTTCGGGGGGGGTCTCTTCCAGGCTATCTTGGAGGGCCTGGGGGGGTCTGGGGACGACGTTTTGGAGGGTTCTCCCACGGGGGGAGGTCTGAAATGGCCTGTCTTGGAGGGTCCAGACCCCCTCCCTTTTATTACGAAATCTGGAGTACCCCTACGCAGCACCTTCCGATTGCGGATAGCAGTGTCGGGGCGGGCTCGGGGTGGGTCGCGGGTGGGTCGCGGGTGGGTCGCGGGGTGGGTCACGGGGTGTGTCGCGGGGTGGGTCGCGGGGTGGGTCGCGAGCGGGTCGCGGGCGAGGACGACGATGGCAACAACATCTCATTTTAAGATCGTGCGCTCTTCTTTGCTCGCGTGTCAATCAACAGGGTACGTATCCCAAGCCGCCCGCTTCGTCTTCGATGGTACCCCCCTTGGGGGTATACCTTCCTTACCTGCTACGTGTAGCGCAGCCCCCAAAACAGGAAGAGGAGTGGGACAGGAACAAGATATAGCGAGGAGGAAAGGAGTTGCGGGAAGGGAGGGAGGAGAAACGGAGCAAGAGGGATGGAGAAGGATGGAGCACGAGAGGGATTAGCAGGAGGTGGAACAGGAGCAGGAACAAACGGCAGAACCAGACGGCTGGGTCGGGCGGGTGGACGCTAATGGGCGGGTTGGGTGGGCGGGCCCAGACGGCCAGGTCGAGCGGGCGCGTCGCTGAAACGTCAGTCCTGCATGAATCGCGAGGGAGTTTCTAGCGATAACGCGATTCCCAAGTAAATCGTGAGGAAGTTCAGAGCGAGAGTGTGATTCCTGACTGTCGAGGGCGCGGCGTCTGAATAGGTTACGCGGAAGTCCCACGGGAGAGCGCGATTCCTGAAGTCCCGACCGAAAGCGCGATTCTTCAATACATTGTGAGGAAGTATCAGGCGGGAGCCGTTGTTGTAAACCAGGGGCCAGTGGCACAGTTTGGAGACCCAGAACTTCCCCATGTAAAAACACGATCGACCCACGAACCCAGAAAGGAATATAGAAAAGTAAGGCATTGCAACATTTCAAAGACACCTGATTGGGCGACGGGCACATGCAATGCTGAATGTATCTATGATGATGTACTGTGCCGAGGGCTGTGCTGTGCTACGCCGTGCTGAATTGTTCTCTCTCTATATATAGCGTTGTGGATCGAATCCTCCCTGGCATCCGAGTCCTCACCGAACTGATCTGGAGCGTAAGCTCGAGCTGCCTGAGCAGATGGTAGCTGCCCCAGAACTAATCGACAGAGGGAACATGCCAAGAGGACGCGCCGCGGAACGTCCCAAGGGACGCGCCAGGCGACGTGCCAGGGGACGTGCCATGTGGACGCACCGCGGGACGTGCCAAGGGGACGCGCTACGCAACGTGCCAATGGACGTGCCGAGGGACGTGCCAGGGGACGCGCCGCGCGACGTGCCAGGTGGACTCGCCACGGAACGCGCCAAGGAACGTGCCAAGGTGCATAGTTGAGTGTATCGATCTTGATGTACCGTGCCGACGGCTGTGCTGTGCTGGGCCGTGCTGAACTGCGATGTGCCATGCCGCGATTGTGCTCTGTATAGCGTTGTGGATCGAGTCCTCCCTGGCATCCGAGTCCTCACCGAACTGATCTGGATCGTAAGCTCGAGCTGTCTGAGCAGATGGTAGCTGCCCCAGAACTAATCGACAGAGGGAACATGCCAAGAGGACGCGCCGCGGAACGTCCCAAAGGACGCGCCAGGCGACGTGCCAGTGGACGTGCCATGGGGACGCACCGCGGGACGTGCCAAGGGGACGCGCTACGGAACGTGCCAATGGACGTGCACCGCGCGACGTGCCAGGGGGACTCGCCACGGGACGCTCCGCGGAACGTGCCAGGCAACATGCCAGGCTGCAATGCTAAGGGTATCGATATTGATGTACCGTGCCGAGGGCTGTGCTGTGCCTGGGCGACCTGGACACGTGAAAACACGCGTTTCGCTCAAGACGTTGTCAGCACATCCTCATGCTAGACATCCGCCTGGGCAACCTGGACACGTGCAAACAAGCGTCTCGCTCGAGACATCCTCAACACATGCTCATGCTAGACATCCGCCTGGGCGACCTGGACACGTGAAAACAAGCCTCTGGTTCGAGACATCCTCAACAAATCCTCATGCTAGACATCTGTCTGGGCCACCTGGAGGCGTGAAACCAAGCGTCTCGCTCGAGACATCCTCAAGACCTGGGCACGTGAAAACAAGCAATCCACTTGATAGATCCTCAGAATTCAGGTCCCCAGGAGAGGACAATATATAACACAAAACAAGCGTTTCGCTCGAGACATCCTCAACACATTCTGAAGCAACAAGCGTTTCGCTCGAGACGTCCTCAAATTTTAATTCGCCGGCCCTACGCGACCTCGTTATTTATCTCAAAATAACTTCGCCGGCCTTACAGCCGTCAAAACCGGGGGTAAACCTACTAAAAGAGAACCCTGGGCCTACGCCCTTTCCGGGAACAGGATGCGAGCCCTGGGAGTGGCACTTAGATCGAAAAACACACACGTCTGTTACCAGAGGGGGGGGCAACCATATTCTTGTTTCAGAGTGAGAGTTCAACAGCAGCAAGAAGAAGGGGATGTTGTAAGACCGTTCGGCCCCCTTCCTCTGAGTATATTTTTTGCCATCGGGGACGCCCGTCACAGGTCGGCGGGGACGCCTATCAAGAGGAGAAAAACACACAGACACAATTCATCGTCCACTCCCAGGAAATATGGGAAACTATAGGGGATATCTTTACTTGTGTGCATTTATTTGTGTGTCCCAGGGCCCCTTCA